ATGTAAGTCTCAGGCTCGCATACTTTTTTTTTTCCAATTTTTATTTCAATTCTAGTTAGTTAACATATAACGTAACACTGGTTTCAGGAATAGAATTTAGTGATTCATCACTAACTTGTAACACCCAGTGTCACATACTTTTGAACCTGTTTATGAACAATGGGACTGAACATGCTATTATAAACACCTGTGTTTCACCATGATCTGTCAACTCTTAGAACAGCAGAAGGTAGTGTCCTGCCTTTTAGACGTGTTGACGTTGATGACATTACTCTAAACTAAATTGCCAGTAGCATGTGATCTTACTACCAATAGGCAGATTGAACTTAAAGGAAGAGGTATATTATGAAATACTTAATTAGTGGGGATGGGGTGGGCATGAATGAATGTGTTCACATGGCTCAAGTCCCGAACTAGACTCAAGAAAAATATCACCAGCAATCTAGTACTTAGGTCAATTGGGAGATGGATATACTGAAGTACATGTGGGTAGGATAATTGTCAAGATTCCTGAGCATGAGCCAAGGATGGATAGGCAATGTCAATGGATCTCTTAGAATGAGAGTAGGAGGATTAACCCCTTCTTAGCACCAGCCTTATTCTTCAAAACAACAGGAGTCTGAAATTTGGCCCAAGCCTTTTAAAATACTGGCAACCTTGGGGCACATAGGTTGCTCAGTCGGTTAAACGTCCTACTTTGGCTCAGGTCATGATCTCATGGCTCATGGCTTCGAGCCCCACATCAGGCTCTGTGCTGACAGCTCAGAGCCCATTGCCTGCCTTGAATTCTGTGTCTCCCACTCTCCCTGCCCCTCCCCTGCTGGCACTCTGTCTGTCTCTCTCTCTCAAAAATAAGTAAACATTAAAAAATAATAAAATATTGGCAACACCTAAGCCACTATGATTCCCTTCAAGCAAATCTATCTCATACCCTCAAATCCAATGGCCACTTTAGGAAATGTGTTACTGGGGCACCTGGGTGGCTCAGTAGGTTGAGCACCTGACTTTGGCTCAGGTCATGATCTCACAGTTTGTGAGTTTGAGCCCTGCATCAGGCTCACTGCTGTCAGTGCACAGCCTGCTTCAGATCCCCTGTTCCCCTCTCTCTCAGCCCCACCCCCGACTCATGTTCTCTCAAAAATAAATAAAACAAAAACAAACAAAAAAATAAAATGTACTACCTGTACAAAATCCAAAAACCCAAATGAAATACAATATTCATTATAAGGTATACTTATCAAAGGGAAAATAAACATCAAGGTCATTTAAGACCTATGGGTTTTCCAGATAGTCCACTAGCCAGATCACAAAGAGAATCAGGTTTGGCCTGTCTATGATACAGTGGCCTACTCTTGTCATGGGTTTTAGGAGTATCAGTTTAAAGGACTTCCACTTCTGGAAAAATGGAGTAGTATAATTTTCTCTATTTCTCCTACTAAGTACAAATAAAAACTGCCAGACATTATGTATGAAACAAACCTAAGAAGACTCTGAATGGTTGAGAGAAGAAAGCATGCATAAGGATCTTGAGACCCACAGAACAACAGTGAAAGTTCCCCCAGATTTTTGTTTTTTGCCTATTTACATCTAAGACTTGTTGCTGAAGCAGTCAGCAACCTGGAGAGACAAACTGGTGCAGATCAAAAGTGAATCCCAATTAGAAGTTTGCTCTCTATAATCAAAGAACAAGGAAAGGAACAGCAGAGTAAGACAGAATATCTTCAGGCAATAATTGCTCTATGCCAGCCAAACACCACAGAAAAACTGTGGCCCTATTTCCATTCATTCATGCTGCAACAAGATGTCAAAATTCCTGGCCAAGGCTGTGTCAAAGAAGACTGATTAGAAAGCTGGGACTTTAAGCCTTATCAGAGAGTAGCAAGTCTCTACCTGTAGTATCAACTGAAACCACATGTGGGGTAGAACCTGGACTGTCTACCCCCACTCAGCAGTTAGAGGAACCATACCCATCCCCCGTAGGGATGGTGTAGAAGACGTCTTAGTGCAGAGTCATGACATTTATCACAGTCTAGTAATAAGAAGGGCACACACACACACACACACACACACACACACACTGTAATGTTAATGGATGTGCCATGAAGAATAGTAATGAGGCTTTCATACATACCCCAGCCAGGGAGAGCTATCACTTAAGTGTTAGTGGAGAGCTGGAACTTTCATCCCTCTCCACCTTACCCTTAAGAGTCAATGGGTGCTGAGTGGAAAATCTGGACTCTACCCTCACCTAGCAGAGTGGAGGTAATATCTCCCTCTCCACTACTGCAATATTGTCAGAGGAAGACAGCTAATAGAGCAGGTTTAAATACAATTCATCATAGTATAATCTCTAAAATGTCCAGGTTAAAATAAAAAAACAAAAAACTCTTGTCACACCAAGAAACAGGAAGAGATCAAATTGAATGAAAAAGAAAATCAACAGATGCCAGCACTGAGATGAGAAAAAATAATGTTAGAATTACATGACAGGTATTTTTAAGCAGACATTATAATAAAACTCCTCCAAGGAACAATTAGATATTTGAGACAAGTAAGAAAATATAAATATCCAGTAAAACACAGAAAGTCTTAGCAAGGAAACAGAAAATAAAAACAAATGAAAAATTTAGAACTTAAAAATATAGTAACAGACATAAAAATAATTAACAAATATGTGCAGTAACAGAATGAAGGGAATGAGGAAAGAATTAGTGAACTTGAAGATATGACAATGGGGGGCGCCTGGGTGGAGCAGTCGGTTAAGCGTCCGACTTCAGCCAGGTCACGATCTCACGGTCCCGTGAGTTCGAGAGCCCCGCCAGAGCTCTGTTGGGCTTGATGGCTCCGGAGCCCGGAGCCTGTTTCTGATTCAGGTTCCTCTCCTCTGCCCTCCCTCCCGATGCTCTGCTCTGTCCCATAATAAATAAAAACGTTGAAAAAAAAAATTAAAAAAAAAAAAAAGAAGATATGACAATGGAAATTACCCAGTTTGAACACAAGACAAGAGCTAAGAAAAAAAAAAATATGAACAGAGGATTAGGGACCTGTGGAATTGTAGTAAAAGATCCAGCATTCATATTTGTGACATTCAGAAGGGAGAAGAGAAATAGAGGACTCGAAAATACTCAAATAAAAGGCAGAATATTTTCCAAATTTAGTGAAAGACAAGAGCCCACCGATTCAGGAGACAGAATGAAATCCAAACAGGGTAAACCTAAGGAAATCACACAATACATAATGGTCAAACTCGCAAAAACTAAAGACAAAGCAAAGATCTTGAAAGCACTGAAAAAGAAATGACAGCTTATCTATGGGGCAAAAATTTTTAATAATGGTGGATTTTTCACCAGAAACGATTGAAGCCAGAAGGAAGTGGCTCCATTCTCAAGGCCTGAAAGAAAACAGCATTCAACCCAAAGTCTTATACACAAAGAACATATCTTTCAAGGATGGAATAGCTACCAACACATTGTAGATTGAGGGAAAACTAAGAATTTGTCATGAGCATACACCTCGAAAAATGGCAAAAAATGATTTTTTTAAACAGAAATGAGATGATAAAAGAAGAAATCTGGAAAATTCAGGAAGGAATAAAGAACAACAGTAAGCAAAAATAGTAAAACAGATTTTTCTTCTTCTTTTGAGATTTCTAAATTAGGTTTGGCAGTTGAAGCAAAATAACACTTATTATGATTCCAATTATATAGATAGGAAATAATAATTAAAAGAATTATATAATAAACAGGAAAAGGTAAAAGAATATAAAGGTAGGTAAGATTTACAAACTCCACTTAAATTGGTGAAATACCAGTAACTGTCATAAGATGCATATTTATAATACCTAAAGAAACTACCAGCGAAAAGTATACACAAAGATGCATTCAAACACTACATAAATCAAAACAAAATTCTAAAAGTCATTCAAGAAAAACACAGGAAGGTGGAGAGAAAAAGAGAAATAAAAAATGGAGGTAACAAACAGAAAACAAAAAATAAACAGGCATTTGAGCACCAACACACCAATAATTACCATTACATGTAAATGGTTTAAATACACCGATTAAAAGAGATTGATGAAGTGGATTTAAAAATAACTGTACTATTTACTGTCTACAAGAAAATCGTTTCAAATATGTGATATAGGCTGGTTAAATGTATGCAAATGAAAAAAATGACATTTCATATAAATGTTAATCAAAAACACTGAAGAGTGTTTATATTAATATCAGATAAAGTAGACTTCAGAGCAAATAAAACAATCACAGACAGAGAAGAACATTACGTAATGACAAAATGGCCAATCCGCCAGGGAGACATAGCAATCCTAGCTGTGCATGTACTAAACAACAGGGATACAAAATGTATGAAATAAAAACAGAGAGAAATAAACCAATTCACAAATATAGTTGTAAATATCAACACCATTATTGAGCACCTACTATATACAAGGCAGTCTGCTAGTATTGGGAATGCAGTGGTGAACAAGAAAGAGACAGGTCTGACACTCACGAAACTCGTAGTCTATTGGGGAAGATAAATATTAGTTAATTAATTAGAAAATTATATAACTTGCTAGCATGATAAATTCATCAGAGGAAATCTCAAAGACAAAGGTTTAAGCCCTCATTCAAAATTTTAATACAAATGATAAGTAGAGAAATACATAACTCTCAAGCTATAGAATTTAACAGAATCTGTGGTTCTACTGTTGCATTTCACAGAGATAATAAAGACATTTATGTTAACACAGAGGAAGCTGCAAACACTACCCACAGATGGACAGGAAAATAGAATTCTTCAGGTGCCTCTCATGCTTTGTTACTCCTCATAACGTTATTCACACTGACTCGATTCCTGCATTTTCTGTTGCTCCCCAGTTTCACTTGGGAGGCTGATAGGACCTCAAAGTGTGTAATATAAACACATTATAAAGAGGTTCAGGATGGAAGAAAGACTCCAACATGTTAGAAATCACCACACTGAGAAAGATGTTAACTTACCACTGTGTAGATCTGATGCTTTCGTCTTTTAGCCAGGTCAATTATGTTTACTCCGTTGTAGTAAAGGTTTTCAATACATCCGTGGAAGTTTTTCTTTAAAAAGGTTCCAGGTTTTCCTGGTACTGGAATTCCTCCAAAACTAAGCTTTATGAAGAGAGAGAGAGAAAAAAAATCAACTCTTAGTTATAAGCCCTGAAGGAGTAGGAAAGAAAAGAGAGTGAATTTTAGTAGTTTCAATTGTATGTGTGAGCCAAGTGGCTCAAATAATTATAGATGCCACTTGATTGCACATTTAAAAGGATACTGATTAGCCCACATAAAAATAACTATAATTGCTTGCTTTTTAAGGGCTTATTTTACAAAACTATTTCACTTCCTTTCTGAACCTTTTTAATACCAAATAAAACAATAATTTATAGAAGGTGAAAAAAAATAAAAGAAAATCAACAACGTTATATTTATCTCTGGTCCAAACATCTGAGATAGTATGGCCAAATGAAAGCCAAGGGACAAACATAATATACCTCAATTCACCCGGAGGGAGACCTAGTTTAAAAGCCTGCATCGTAGCAAAAGAGCCTATGTACATGATTATATCCAAATTATTTTCTATAAAAATGAAAGATAGGAAATAATGTAAATATGCCATACAGTTTCTTTAAAGGAAATGATAAAGAATTAGTATGATAGAAGGTTACTTAGTTGTCAATATTGGTGTTTACTGAACATGTGATAAAATGGCAAATGAACATAATATTGATTGAAAAATGCAAGTTATAATTGGGTATAATGTATGATGTCAACAACAAAAATTGTTCTTACAGTATAAACTTGGAGGAAATGCACTGAACTGTTAATTATGGCTGTCTCTGGGAAGTACATGAGATATTAGTTTTTGCATTATTATTAGTTTTTACCACTTTCTTCCAGTAAAATACAAGTTGCTTTTTTTTAATACATTTTTTAATGTTTATTTATTTTTGAGAGAGGAAGAGACACAGCATGAGCGAGGGAGAGGCAGAGAGAGAGGGAGACACAGAATCCGAAGCAGGCTCCAGGCTCTGAGCTGTCAGCACAGAGCCCGACAAGGGGCTCAAACTCACAAACCATGAGATCATGACCTGAGCTGAGATCAAGAGTTGGGAGCTTAACAGATTGACCAACCAGGTACCCCTCGAGCCAATTTTTATACATATTTCTCTTGTTTCACTGTCTTTGTAAAAACTTCTTAAATTCATGATATAGAACTTTGCAAAAACAAAACAGTAATTTTTATGTATTTCCTGAGTATATACTATACTGATTCTGACAGCACATCACATTAAAGAGATATCTTTCTACTCCTATTTTACACATAAATCATTTATTAGCTCATTTGTTTATTCAAACTGAGAAATGAATGCTGTTTTATCCATTGGTTTTTAAGAAATCCCCATAAAATAAGAATACAGGGTATTATATTGAAACTCCTGATAGGTTCAATTATATTAATAGATCATAGATTAATAGGCTCTTTGATTGAACCACACATGTGCTTCATTTGCCCTGAAATACACGTGCTCATACTTTAAATAATAAATCAGTTTGTGCTCTAATTTTCATCTTTTGTCAAGTATTTAGATCAAGCCTAGATTTGTCTCTGAGAAAAACTATGGGAATGTTATCTTTGACTCTATTTAAGAATGGCTCATAAATCTTGGGAAATACTGTGGAAAACTTAAAACACCAATGAAATTGTTCAGTTCACAAATATTTTGTGCAATTCTTTCTTTGATAACTTGTATAAAATCTTCCTTCTTGATTTGTTGCAGTATTCAAATATTTTCAATTTGAATCAGTTACATTAAAAAAGATCCATTTCTGTTTTCTACATTGTTTCCATAAGTCAAATTTATAACGTAATAACTAAATGGAATATTTGTCATTTTTAATTATTTTTTGTAAATACATTTTTTTTGGGTGCTGAGCAGTTTAGGTCCACAATGGAACTGAGAGGAAGGTACACAGGTTTTCATCTACCCTCTGTCCTCACCCATACATAGCCTCTTTCATTGTCAACATCCTTCACCAGAATGGTACATTTGTCTTAACTGGTGAACCTCACATTATGATCACTCAAGTTCACCCTTGGTGTTGTACATTCTTTGGGTTTGGACAAATGTATAATGCCATGTATCCACCATTACAGTATCATATAGAATAGTTTCACTGCACTAAAAAAACCTCTGTCCTCTGCCAATTCATCCCTCTCCCGTGCCCCCCAACTACAACCCTTGGCAACCATTGATGTTTTTACTGCCTCTGAAGTTTTTCCCTTCCCAGAATGGCATACTATTGGAATCATACAGTATGTAGCCTTCACAGATTGGGTTATTTCAATTCATAATATGGATTTAAAGTTCTTCCATGCCTTTTCATGGCTTGATAGCTCATTTCTCTTTACTGCTGAATATATTCCATCTGGATCTACCGTAGTTTATTTATCCATTCACCTACTAAAGGACATCTTGGTTGCTTCTAAGTTTTGGCAACTACGAATAAAGCTGCTATAAACATTCATGTGCAGGTTTTTGTGTGGACATAAGTTCTTACTCATTTTTATAATTTAAAACATATAATGATACTTTTTTAAATGTTGGCCACCTTCCTCAATTTGTGAAAATGTTTTTAACGCTCTACTTCACTCAGTTGTGATTTAGGAAAATAAGAATTACAGGAAATACTTGAAAAAGAGAGAAAGAGGAAAAAAACACTTTTTTTAAGTAGAAAAAAAATTAGTGTTTGAAAGATTTGGGGTAGAGAAATTTATTTTAGAAGTCAAGTAATATAGAGTGTACTATCTACTATAAAATTGTAATTTCCAATCACACCAAGGACAGCAACAGCTGTTTATAGCCTGGGTGGGGGATTTTTGGAGAAATTTGGTAAAGACAAGAGACAAGAGTATAGTTAGAAATCAGGGGCGCCTGGGTGGCGCAGTCGGTTAAGCGTCCGACTTCAGCCAGGTCACGATCTCGTGGTCCGTGAGTTCGAGCCCCGCGTCAGGCTCTGGGCTGATGGCTCAGAGCCTGGAGCCTGTTTCCGATTCTGTGTCTCCCTCTCTCTCTGCCCCTCCCCCGTTCATGCTCTGTCTCTCTCTGTCCCAAAAATAAATAAACGTTGAAAAAAAAAATTAAAAAAAAAGAAATCAGTGTAGGCCCTGTTCTTTGATTCTCTTCAAGATTGAAACCTGCTGAGGCCTGGGGGACAGTCATATTGATCACAAGATGGATTTTGGAAAGCACAGAGGTATCTCCCCCCCTCATTCCCAAAACAGTGATGGCTAAAGTCTATTAGAGATGCCTCTAGTTCAGCAGGGACCCAGAGCAAACTTTGCCAGAAGGGAGACAGACTATCAATGGCTGAGGGAAATAATACAGAAAGGTGTGAGGGTTCTTCACCACGACCTGGTTATTCTAGTATAGTGTGAGGTAGGCTGCTGAGGGTCTCACAGGCTGGGGGATACGGATGGACTGAGGATGGTGGTTGGACCTGGAGGTCTGGGAGAGGCCAAGTGACCAGACCTCAAAGCATGAGCCCATTGCCAGTACCATGGACAGCAACCGTAGAAGCCAACCCTTTAGCCCATACAGCCTCTAATGCTGGAAAATACACAGCCCCCCTCCCCCACCCCAGCCAGTGATCTGCCCAGGGAAAAGGGAAGAAGAAGAGGAAATAGAAAACATCAATATAGAGGCGCCTGGGTGGCGCAGTCGGTTAAGCGTCCGACTTCAGCCAGGTCACGATCTCACGGTCCGTGAGTTCGAGCCCCGCGTCAGGCTCTCGGCTGATGGCTCAGAGCCTGGAGCCTGTTTCCGATTCTGTGTCTCCCTCTCTCTCTGCCCCTCCCCCGTTCATGCTCTGTCTTTCCCTGTCCCAAAAATAAATAAACGTTGAAAAAAAAATAAAAAAATTAAAAAAAAAAGAAAGAAAACATCAATATAACCCAATACTTACACAGTGCACTAAGTCTTAAGCAGGCATTAACTAGTTATCATTTATCAACCGGGTTGGATTTTTCTGCCATCAAGGGAAGCAGGGGCTGATAAGCATGTCAAATTCAGTTGGGGAGAAGAAACAAAACGATGTTTCTGCACATTTGAGTGTCAGTGTACATTTTTTGACCTCTTATATTTTCAAATTTTTCAGGTAGCTGAAAATTTGGGATTATAATTATACTATTGAATTATTGTTTGTTGTAAGTTAGAATGGAAAAATTTGCTTCATATATTGATTCCTTCCTACACATATAGTATTGATTTTATATAAATACTTCATAAACCCTTGTAGGCTGTACTTGGTATGTGTTTATTAATTCTGCATTAATAATTCTGTTCCTCAGATCATTTACATTCATATTTTTATCTGGTTTACCAAAACTGTGAGAATAAAAATTAAAATATTATTCTGGACAATGTTTCTGTCCATCAAGCCATTCACACTAAGTTCACTCTTCTTCATGACCTGAGATGGCCAAATTATTTGACTATTATTTGCAAAAAATGAATATTGATCATTCTCAAACTATTCTGCTTACTTCAGCTGGCATCTGATTGACTGTCACCCAAGTTCACAACACTGACTTTTCTCCTTTAATGCTGCCCATTAGTTCATTCATCTGGCAGCAGAACTGGAAAACTAATGATCACTTCCTGTAATCTGGCTCTTGGGCATCTATCCTGGAACTGCCACATGGGCAGCTCATGTAAGGGTCGTGTTAACAAATATCTAAATAGTAGGAACAGATAGTTTTTTTTAAAGTTTTGTATTTGATATTTTACTTGATACATACATCTGCCTAGCATAAGTGGGTATTTTTTAATGTTTGCTTATTTATTTATTAGAGAGAGAGAGAGAGAGAGAGAGAGAGAGAGAGAGAGAGAGAGACAATAAACGGGGGAAGGGTAGAGAGAGAGAAAGAGAGAATCCCAAACAGCCTTCACCCTGTCAGTGCAGAGCTTGACATGAGGTTTGAACCCACAAACCACAGGGTCATGACCTGAGATGAAATCAACACTTGGACACTCAACAGAATGAGCCACTCAGGCACCCCAGTATAGGTGTTTTTAAATAAGGACCATAATGATTATTATTTTATGACAGCC